TCAAGTCTCACCACATTGAAACAATGAACTTCAGCATTCACCTCTGCTCTTAATTGTTTGAATAATAGACACTTCAGTAGTTATATGAGAATAATATTCCAGGATTTATCTCAGAGGAGGCAGGTAAAGTCCTAGGCAAAGAATAGCACAGTGGGGAGACCCTACGAGGCAGCTGCCCTGACTTAGAATGGGTAGAGATGCAGCATGTGGAGAGAATCTATAAAACTAGGTCTAGGTATGACCTTCTGAACTTTTGTACTACCATCGGTTTATTCATGTTCAAAACATATTTTCTTGTATGGGTAGAAAAGTGTCCAGGAAAAGGAATTATCTCAATATTCTGTTTTTTGTTGATTGATATGTAGAAATACAGACACACACATATTGCTTAACAATACAAATAATTTGCACCTGAAATTCATTTGCTTAGTCCCTTGGAGCCCTACAGAACAAAATGTTTGTAACAAATACAGCTGTGCTGGCGATACTATTGAGTTAGAGAAAACAAAATATTGTCCTCTGGTCCAAGAAACTTATAGTCCAAAGGAAGTCAGGGAGGACACTTAAGAAAACTGGCTTCAACTTTGGGTTTGCAATTTTTCAATTGTGTCTTGCATTTTATGGTAGCGTGGCTTTGTCCTAACTGTTTTTAAAAGGTGAAATGCCTGTTCTCTTCACCAGCCTTCAAAAGCTTACTGAGCCTTCAAGGCCCCACCTAAATGTCACTGCTTGTAAAAAGCTTTCCCTATCTCCCTCCCTCCCCCAGTCAGATGTCTTTTCCACCCTGCTTTGTGCTTGTGCAGTCCTTCTGTTACCCTCTTGATTACATTATCTACAGCCATTTATATTAGAGTTAGTAGGGCTCGTGGACTTTGCTTGATTCATCAAACTATCTCTCTAACCACTTCTAGGAGGACAAAAGAAACCTGGAAATCAGGAAAAATGTATTTTTAATAAGTAATATTAGTTATTAAGACAATATGTTAGTTACTTAAAACAGCATGTCAAATTTTCTTTCAATTTCCAGAAACTTTGTAGGCAAATGCCCCCAAGCTTAAAATAATGGGTACAATCACTAATCTGGGAAAATATTTATAGGAAAGAGTTTTCACATGTTTCTAGATATTTTTGAACATTTTTAATATGATACTATCTTTTGAGGGAATTCTCAATAAATTTTTGTTGCCTCTCTGCATGTCTCTTTTTTTTAATGTGTAAAGTGGGGATGCTATTTCCCCTCATATGTTTTAGGGGCTATCACAAGGGTAAATGAGAAAATGGCTATCCACAAAGTTAAAGTGGCATAGAAATCCAAAATGCTGTTCTGATTAACACTTGAAAGATTACTTTGTGTCCATATTGTAGCACTTGTGTATGCGGACTTTGGCTAACCCCATTGCAGCTGCATTAAAGAAGATTCTCCATGAGCTGCTAATCAGGAGAAGCCAAAAGTCTGATTACAGTTTAGGGCCCCGCCACAGCCATCAAAAGTTACCAATGAGATGTTGGAACTTCAAGTTTGATTCCAATTGCGCAGGAGGAAAGTCATGGCCTTAACCACCTGCTTCCTGTCTCTACCATGACTCACAACTTTTAGGTCCACTTGGGTGGAAGTTCAGATGAGATGTCTCAGGCCCACTGCCTGAGGACACTGATGGTGCTCAGGCTCAGGTAGTCATGCAAAGGAGTGGTGTGAAACTGGGGCCTGAGATCCAAGTGGATTGAACTAAGGGTAAAAGACACTTTTTAGCTTATTGAGAAAAATCAGTTCAATCATCATTACTAGTGGTGTAAATACAAAGCTATGGCTTCCTTATAGGACACATAGAGAGTGATGTAATATCATCCATATGATATTTCTGTCTCAAATGTATAACCTTGAATCAAACAATGAGCAAACATCAGACAGTGCAAATTGAAGAACATTCTACACAATAACTGGCCTGTACTCTTCATTTCCATAATACACGATACTGAACGATGAAGAAAGTCTCCAGAATTTTCTGGGTAAAGAGAATTAAAAGGACATTGTAACTGAATGGATGTAGTATAAGACTAGATTAGATACTGATCCAGTAAAATAACATTATTGAGGTAATTGACAAAGTTTAAATGTGAACTATAGAATATTTAATAGTATTGTATTCTGATTTTGACATTTACAGCACAGTTATGAAAGAAAATGTCCTTGTTCTTAGGAAATATATACTGAAGTATTTAGGGGTAAAGTGGCACGCTGTGTGCAACTTAAGCTCCAGTGGTCCCCCAAATAGTAAAATACAATATAATTATATATCTATGTATATGGTACACAGAAAACAGAAAAATAAAGCAAAATAAAAGCAATAATACAATCTGTATAAAAAAGACAGAAGTCTTTATTACTCCTGCTACTTTTCAGTCAGTTTGAAATGATATAAAATAAGCTTTGCAAGTAGAATATAATACTACAATCTAAATGTTTGTTTTATTTTAAAAGTATGTTCTATAAAATTCTATAATTCATTATTTAATGTTTGTTTTCTTAACTGTCTTAAAAAGCAAAATGATAACCTGAGAATTCCACAGTGAAAACAGTGAGGGTCTGACAGTACTGCCACATGTGAACTTGGGATAGTCCTTCAATAGTTAAAATCATTTTTTAGAATTAAGTTAAAAATAACCAGGCCCAATTGCCTGGAAGCCCAACCAGGAGAAATATTTTAATAATGCTAACACTCACCTCGATGGGCTTAGGGATGGTCCTCAGCCTAAATGAACCAGTCATGTTGGTTGCAAAGCTGAATGACTGAAGAGTCCAGACAAATGCCCAAGCTGCCTCCAGCTTTGGGTAGGGTACTAATGAAAGGTACTTAGGTAATGACATTCTCAGGAGGAAGGTGGAGGCAGAAAGGCATAGGGCAAGGATATAGCAAGAAGCAGTATAGCAGAGGAAGATCTTTCCAAACACTGGAATAATAGAGAAAGTCTACTCCCATCTTGAAATGTGCATATTAACAAGACTGCTGCTCAGCAAAGAATAACTAAAAGCTGACTGTGAAAGCATTTGTCATCCACCTCACAATCTCCAGGAAACAGTCCACTGTGACAGTTTAGCAAATCTTTAAGTCTAATATCTCAGCAGGATAATCAGAAAGCTCTGGCCAGTATTAACACCAGAAGTTGAAGAGGTCATTAATGTAATAAGGAATGATGGGGCAGATAATGGCCAGATTAACTATGAAATTTGAATTAGGAAATAGACACTGAAATATCTAGGGGTAAAGTGGCATGATGTAGAGGAAAGGAAATGAAAACGGAGTGAAAAAGTGGTGTACTGTTAAATGCTTGACAATTTACTTTCAGTGGGAAATGCTAATTTCTATGGTATAAATATTCCAACCATGGACAAGTTCTAGTTACCAGCATGTTACCAAATACAGAATTAGAAAGGCATGTACACAATCAACTCTCAAGAGCTAGTGTGAACTAACTCTAGAATATTACTAGTCATGACCTAAGTACCAGTCATATGCTCACTATGTTGCTCTAGTAAGCAGCTTAGCCATTTGGGTCTCATTTTTTCATCTGTAAAATGACAACTTCAAAAGATTACTGAAATAATCAAATGAAACTAATATATCTTGATCTAAGAGTAAATGGTTCTGGCTCTGATCACCTCTGGATCTATGATGGAATTAAGCATATCAGTGGTTTCTTGCTTTTTCCCATTTCACCAAGTCTTGTGAGCCCAAGAAAAAATGAATGGTAATTACAGAAGAAATCACATCCACAAGATGTTAGGTATAAGAAGTTTAAGGCAGTAACCCCCAAGATTTTGTACACAGGCGGGAAGTATAGGTGCAAATCTGCTTATCTGCTTGTAAAGTGGGACTGGGGAATGTGTACACTTTCACTACTGCTGTTATTGTTTGGCATACTGGGGATGGAACCTATGGCCTCGTGCATGCTAGATAAGCATTCTATGACTGAGCTACACTGCAACTGTCATTCTATTATTTTAATGATCTATTTATGATGTCTCACTTTCATTATGGTAGCCATTGATGATTTCCCATAATCTTGTTGTGAAGTCCAGTAATGCTTGTACTCTTTATTTTGATTGGTTTTAGTTTGCTTTGTATTATTTAATTTCAATATATGTGAAGGTATGGACAGCTATTTTGAAGAGAACAAGAGACATTATGGCAGCCATTGTTAATTTTCCTATTGTCTGGGTTTGAAGGCCTGTAATGCTTTCATTCTTTTGTTTTGATAGGTTTTATACTATTTTGTCTTGTTTGAATTCATTGTGTGTGAAGATATACACAACTATTTCAAAGAAAACAAGAGACATTATGGTAACCACTGTTGATTTCCTGTTGCCTTGTTTTGAAATCCTATGTTGCTTCCATTGTTTTGTTCTAATCTGTTTTGTTTTGTTCCATTCTCTTTAAAACAAAAAAAAAATTAAATGATAATATATTTATGAGACATCTTAAAAGTAAATGGTTCTCAATCTACTTTAGTATATTTTTACCTTTCTTTCATACACTTCACCAAAATATGCCTGGTAGCAAAAATTGCACAGTAAACCTGGGGGCTACTCATCCACTGATGTCCATTGTGTCCTTTGGTAACATAAGTTGTGCCCAACACTCCCTGTGCTATGTCTCTAAATTGGAGAATCAGGGGCTCAACCCACCCAAACCCAGAGTTATAATTTAGTTACACAGTTACCTCAGAAGAGGTACTTGGGATCTTTGTACTTTTTCTTTTGGAAGAGGTACCAGAATGTCACCAGAAATTTTGAAAAGCAGGGTTGACAAGAATGAATAAAAGAGACTAGAAGTTTGATCCCTGCTGGGAATCTCAGGTTTTGAAGCTAACAGAATCAGATGAAAAGGAATTCTGACCTCTTCAATGTGTTGTTAAAGTAGAATGGAAGAGAAAACCTCCACCCAGTCATTCAAGAAACTTTGAGTGCAAAGGGCGTTAGTAAGGTATAAGAGACATAATACCTTGTGCTTCCGGAGGCTGCCAGGACTGGTGGGCGTAGAGATGGGAGACTGCTTAGACTTGGGGGTAGAGAGCTGGCTGCTGGAGGTTCCGTTTGCTAGCCCGAGGCAAGAGAAAAGGAAGGGATAAAAATCAACAGCATACAAAGGAGCAAGTTATCCTATCCCTCTGAAGACACTAAGAACATTCAAACAAGGTACAAAGACAACCAAGTGATTTGATGAGCAGAACAAAGGTGAAAAGAAACACATTCTTCAAAAGGGCAAGAACTGCAATTCTCAGTTAATTAGATCCTCTAGCAGTGCAAGGCTCACCCTTCTATCTTTCCCCCAGAGTGCTTCTCAAACACATGCATCTGTTTCTTTTCAAGTCTTTTTAATATTCATTTCAAGTTTTGACCCTAACATCTCTGGGAGACAGCCTGAAAAAGTATTGTTTTGCTTTAATTTTTCAGAGAAGAAAAATGAGGTATAGAGAGGTTGTGTGCCTATACTAATGGGGAAGAAATATGTGTGCTTTGGACAAGGGCACATCCCATAGCAGATGAAGGTACAGGTGTAGGACAACTCCCCTATTAATCTTGCTCTCCTTGTTTTTCTGTTCACAATCTTTTCCTTTGCCTCCCTGCCCTGAGAGAAAACAATGGAAAAGAAAGAAAAAGTAGGCTGGACAAAAAATGAAAAACAACATGGAGAAGAAATAGAGAATAAAACATATGGAAGGGCACAAACAGAAAAATGGGGAAGGGAAGAGAAAAAAGTGAGAAAGAAATCAACAGTTGGAGTAGATGGGAAGCAAGAAAGGGAAAAAGACTGCAACAGAAGAATGTGAGCAGGAAGAAAGGGGACAAGAGGCACAAAGACAGAAAGAGAGCCAATGACAGGTACCATACCTACAGTTTGTACCCAACAAAATGCTGAACATGAGATGGGTTAGTTTTCAACATCTTTATATTCCATTGTTTTCAAACTGTTTTTATATGCCATTGTCAAGAAGCTTTATCAAATCTAATCATGATACAAGACAAATGTGTTTCATTGAAATTGAATAATTAAACTGCTTTTAAAGTGGATTCATGTTCAGACATCTTATGCTAAACTATTTGTAATCTTAAAACTTACATAATTAAAGTGGTATATTGTGAAATCTACATTGAAAATAAAGGCAAAAATCTAAAGGGTATGTAGAGAGTGAAAAAGAGAAAAAAGGGAGAAAGAAGAGAGAGAGGATAAATAGAAAATTGAAACATGTAAGTAGAAAGGTTGTCTAAGAATATTGCTGTTAGTCCCATGGATAGAGCTTAAATTGCTGCATCATGAGTATTTCCTGAGACTATACTTTTTCTGCATCACTTCTGGTAATGTTTCCCTACATTTTGGAACATTTACATTAATGGTAGAAATGAAAGAGATATCAGTGTGGTGGTTACACAGTTTATCCAAGTGCAAGAGAGCTAAAACATGGGCACTTAAGGAACCCACTCTGGCTTTATGTGTATATTCACTTGTCTTTCACCCACTCATTGATAAACTTCCCTCCCTTTCATTCATTCATTTAGCCAGTAGTGATGGAGCACATAACCTATAAACCAGGCACCATATATTAGATACAGGGGTTTCAGAGATGGGTAAGTCACTTCCTATGGGAAGGCATACAAGCATACAGTGGAGTAAGTGTGAAAACAGAGCTATGTTTAAGGTATTATTGGAGCCCAGAGGACAGACTTTGAAGTCAGGGTATTGGGAGGCAAACAAGAAAAGACAACACTTGAAAAATCTTGAGAGATGAATGTGGAATCAGCAAATCTATAGAGATTGAAACTAGATTAAAGGTTGCCAGGGACTGAGCAGGGAAGGCATTAAAGGGAGATGGGAAGTGTCAGCTAATAGGTATGAGGCTTCTTTTGGTGAGACAAAGTTATTCTGGCATTAAATTGTAGTGACGATTGCACAACTGTATGGCTAAACTAAAACTCACTGAATTATACATGTTAAATGAGTGAGTTATATGTTCTGTGAATTTATCTTAATAAAGCTGATTTTAAAAAGGATGAATTTGATCTAGATAAGCAAAGAGGATACGAGGGCTTTCTAAATACAGGCAATGACATGAAAGTGGGACAGAATACAGTGAGTTTACAAAGTGCAAGCAGCCCAGACTGGCTCAAGCATAGATGAAGTTCAAGGGAGATGGAGACGGGATAAGAAGTTTGGGTTTGATTTCTGAAGGAAAGTCACAGAAAGATTTAAACCGAATGTGATGCAATCAAATTTGCCTTGTGAAGCTACTACAGCTTCTGTAGAAAGACTGAGGTGGGCTGGGTAGAAGCAATGAGGCTGTTTAGAAGACACTGCAGCAGTCTGATAGTGATGGTACCTTCAACTATGACAATGGGAGGAGAGAGAAGAGACACAGACAGGGATATAAGAGGCCAGATAAACTGAGGTTATGCTGATATATTATGTCATCCACCCAAAAAGAACATGGTCTGTGTACATAACACAGAGAATGTGTGAGCCAGACTTTGCCAATGGCCTAGGTTTTCTCGCGAATGAAGGATACATTTTGGGAAAGGCAAAAGTCTGTAGTGCCACAACTACTCTTCATAGGAAATGAAGGAGTTAATAGTTGAAAGAGTTAATGCACCATCTATAGTGCCTGAGGACTTTCCCAGTAGAACTTGGCCAAGAACATTCAGAGTAAAGAGTACTCTTAGAGAGCTGTATGAGCAGACACAGTAGTGCTTTTCTGACCACAACCTTGAGATCTAACACATATGGCCATCCCTGGCTAAGTTTGGTGACTCGGTTCCACAATGGCACCATATCCTTCATTAATTCCAGTTTTCCAGTATTTGTTGGCCACACCACACATGAGTGGATACTATATGCCCAATGTTAAAACTGATGTTTTTCTATACACTTATCTGAGACTGAACCCATTGGCCTTGCAATACATGGAAAATTGGTAGTCACAATGAGAAGCATGTCTGCATCTCAGTTTCCTTATGTCAGCTATGGATCTGAAAACACAGGCTCGTCTGCAACTTGTACATCTTTTCTCATTATCTTGTGAAAAACTTTTACCCCATAAAATTAAGGGTATTACATAAATCATATTCCATAAATGTCTTTCTCTATTATCTGCATACGTGTAAATGTGTATATATGCTCTTCATGCCCTAATGCTACACAATCACTTATAAATTATTTGTAAATAATGGACATTATTGTGTCATCAACATTCAATGAGTATTTTGGGAATCAATTTTTGATAATTTAACTGTCTCATACTGCATTGTTAACACTTTTCCATACTTCCCCAGAGTTAACTAATGAAAGAAATCCAAAGATGGACATAGAGAAATGAGAAAACATAGGAAAAAGTAGATAGATTCCTTGCAACCTGAAGGAACCCCTATACTTACAGCCTAGATAAAAATGTATTCATACACACATTTTGTCTTTAGACTCTGGGAAAAATCTGGAAGGGTGCCAATAGACATGGATTCTGGAGCTAACTCATATAAATATCAAGTAAAAGAAGTGCAAAATAATGCAAATGGGTTCTAATGAATTGTGTTTGGTCTTGAATTGGTAAGCTCTTGCAGAAAGGCTGTCACACTTCATTTTGAAAGGGAATAGAAATGATGCTACTATTTGAATTTTTTGTATCAGGAATCAAACTCAGGACCTTGCACTTGCCAGGAAGGTGCTTGTGCCACTGAGTTATATCACTGACCTTATTTGATATTCATTTTCCTTTATTCTTCCTTACTAAACATTCCTGAATCCTCTGGTGAATGCCTTGAAAGGGGAGGTCTCCTTCCGCTTTGATGTGCCTCTCATTTCCCACCTCAGAACCATGGTACTATCTCACTATTCTCTCCTTTGGTTTATACATAGTCCAAATTCTCTCTTTTCTTTCTTCTCTTTATACAGTTCATTTTCCCCCTTGCAAAGAGGAATGCCAAAAGCTTTTCAATCCCCTACTCTATCAATATCATAAATAAAAACAAGTATTTTTATAGAGTGTATATGATCCCTCCCTCTCTCCTCTCTCTCTGTCTCTCTCCCTTCCCTTCTACACACACACACACACACACACACACACACACACACATACACGGAGCACTTGCTCCTGTTAGACTTAACAAAATCAGAAATCAAATGTAGGTCTTTGTGACTCCAAAATCTTTTTCTTTTATGTTTGTAATTTTACTACATAGGCCTTTTAAAAATGAATTCCTCCTGAGATTGCTTCCTTTGGCAATTTTGTGGCACAGGCTAGGGAAGAGGGGGAAATTTGTGGAGGGGAAAGAGAAAAGGATAACAAGGTAGAAGCAGATGCTAGAGCTGACACCTTTGAGGTCTCTATTTTATCTCATTTAGATTAGAAAGTGTTTAGCAAGAACTTTTATTAATCTGGCTGGTTACTGAAACAATATCATGAAACAATAGAAGACAGAGAAGCCAGCATGGCATGTGATTACCCTCATGCCATAGGGCTTTCTGGGAAGATGGAATCTGTGCCTATCTGTCACCTCCCTTAGCTGATACCCATCAGCTATGCAATACAATTGTCAAGGCTGGCCGTGCAGCTTCTTGGCTCAATGGCTTTTCTGAATGATTATGCCTGTCCTTGTCCAAGCACTCAAGTTTAACTCAGCTCTGTCAGCCTTTCCTGTGTGAATAGCACAGGACAAACTCAAACAGGATGCCTAGAGTAAGACAAACAGGCTGATCACCAAGATTTATAAGGATTTAAATATATGAGAAGGGTGAATTACAGAGCTTTAAGTATATGCTGCAAATGCAGCACAAGAGAATGGGAGATGGGTCCAAAGAACAAGATTGTGTCTGATGTGGATAGTCAAAGAGTATGGAATAACGAGTCAGACAGAGCTGATGATCAGTTCTCAGATTTTGGATTCCCTTGTATGGAGGTTGGGGTACAAAACCACCTCAGGTGTAAGTGACTAAAGGGATATTTAGGGAGTGAGTTAGAAAATACTTTGTGCATTTGGCTTTGCTTGACCAGAAAATAATGGAGAAAAAGCCCCTATTGGCATTTGTTTTCTCCCAATATTTAAAGGAA